AATGTTAATTCAAAACGAAAATGAAACGGTAATAAAATATTGTAAGTATCTAAAGCTGCGATAAGTCCTTTTATGTATTCATTAACACAAGTCGTATTACATAATTTTGTTATTTACTTAAGTATCGATATTATGTACTTACATAATATTTGTGAAAATAACGAACCTAACGAAAGATTTTTGTTTAATATGGTTAAGTATTACGTCACCTAAAATACGAATCTCGTTTTATTTTTGTAACAAAGTAACGTAACACGACACTAAGCTGTCACTTGATATTAAAAGAAAACGTTCCTGTTACTAGATCCGACGGAATTTCTCGGAAGAAACAGGGAACTCATCAAACTTGTGATTTGTTTGCAATGGTAGTCCAACCGTTGTAATATGCGGTAGAACCACTCATTAAATAATAATATTTCTTGCTAAAACTATGACATCTTATAAAGTCCTAATACAGGCTACACTACTTCGAAGAATGTGCGGAAGAATTACATGAGCTAATTCCACCAGCCCCCTTCCATCACCGGGCAACCAGACCCAGGTTAGCGTACCATCCCTATATTGTTGACATTCCACCAGCTCGTACTAAGCGTTTCGATGACTATTTTAAAATGCGAACAGCTAGGGTCTGGAATTCGTAGTCTTTCCCGAAGACTATAATCCGGGCCTTTTCAAGGCGAGAGTGAATACCTAGGCACTTATAGGGCAGATACGTACCATTCTAGAGCGCTTCCTACTTAAGCCAGGCCTTGACAGGTTGTGGTCAATTACCTGCCTTTTTATTCATAAAAAATGTGCTAGGTTGCAACAAAAAATTGTACTATTTTTATTTCTGTAACGAAGACATGCACCTCCTACATATTTTTTGCTTAACTGGAAAAGAGTGCCATATAAAAGTTCGATTTGTGTGCAATAAAGTTAAAAAAACAAGATTATGCCACAAATTATGCTTACTTACTTTGGCTTGTCTATTCGAACATCATCAATCCACATCCTAAATCAAATACAAAACAAATCAAATAATTAGAGTGCGTCAATCATTTGATTTACTTACTCAGCAATAGTAAGACCCACTTTAAAAGCGGGTTTTTAGTTCGATTTACAGTAGGTCATCATCATCATCATCATCATCTCAGCCATAGGACGTCCACTGCTGAACATAGGCCTCCCCCAATGCTTTTCATGTTACCCGGTTGGTAGCGGCAGTAGGTATTCATATTTCATATAATTTATTTACACACTAAGTATAGTACATAAGGGTTTTATAACTAAAGACAGTGCTTTAAAATTAGTAACTTGAGGTATTGCAAATTTTTAGAGTAAGCCTACTAATCCCCTGTGCACTATACTACAGCCATCATCAAAAGTTGCGGCTATTGTCAACAGCAGACAATCAAAGCAAAACCAACCTTATTTAGTTTAAACAGGGATTCATAATACTTAGAAACCTCAAAGCTTGGCGTTGACTGTACTAGAAACTGATGGGCGACAGGCATTGGACAGAAAACTGATTTGGAGTTTTAAAGACTTTGCCTTGGAATGTCGATGGAATGGAGCTGGTATTCAAAAGTTGTATTAAGTATTACAGTATTGACGAAGAAGGGACTTTGTCAAACTGCGATTAGAGATTTATATTTAGCCATTTATCCGTTCTCCACAGGAAGTTTTAGTCAATGTTGTGGGTGGTAATTCTAATCTAATTTTGATGAGTTTGTATGAGGAAACAATCATATTTTCTATTTCCAAGTCACAGTGTACAATATACCTACGTTCTATGACCTCTTACTCGGCCGTTTGGTGTAGTGGTTCAGAACGGACTACTATGCCGAGAGGTCCCGGGTTCGATTCCCAGCCGGGCAGAAATTGAAATGATGAATTTTAATTTCTGTGACGGGTCTGGGTGTGACTATGTATAATATTTATGTGTTTAAAAAAAAGTATATAAGTAGTATATCCGTTAAGCTAGCACCCATAACACAAGCATTAAGTTGCTTACTTTGGGGCTAGCTGGCGCTGTGTGAAATTGTCCAAAGATTTATTATTTATTATTTATCATACTAGTTGGTTCGTTTTTTGTATGGAGAGTGCAATATCATTTCCTAATACATACATAGTGCTGCGAATATTGGTTGACCCTTAAAATATTTGCAACATCGAAAAAGTACCTACCTACCTAGATTTAGTTTAAAATAAATAAGTGACGCAATAAAATTTTAACAAAACAATAAAACCGATTCCAAAAAATATGCACCAAAAGCAGAAAAATATAACTATGTAGGTACTTATTTATTAAGACGAATTAATGTAAGTATACCATGATTGATACTTTTGGAGTCGGTGTCAAGATTATGAAATGTATGAAATTTGCTATAGGTACGCGTTCCCAAAAGTATCAATCATGGTCACACCTCGATTTTAGAAATCGGTTCTAAATTGACGGAGTTCTGCGGTAACACATACAAAAAAACACACTCGAATTGAGAACCTCCTCCTTTTTTTTGAAGTCGGTTAAATAATTAATAGTGGGGATACTCAGATCTCCAAGCCCGCATGGGCCTTGTCTCCGTGACCCGAACTAATGGTTACAGCGATCGTTCTTTTGACGACTCTTGATTGCCTTTAAATCTTTAATGGATGGGCCTTTGTTCGGCCTTCGTTCCTTAGGTCTTTACATTTCCTAAGGTTTTGTATTTGAAATCCATAGGCTATTATCACCTTTAGGAACCTAATTTATTTGTGGTTGAATAATCCGGGTGAAGCTCGCTTCTACCTTTTGCCTGGTCATCACTTTCTATCAGGTGAAATGCAGGCCATGGAGCTTCCTCGTTGTCATCATCATCATTTCAGCCATAGGACGTCCACTGCTGAACATAGGCCTCCCCCAATGCTATTGCCCAGTTGGAGCGGCCTGCGTCCAGCGCCTTTCTGCTACCTTTACGATGTCGTCGATCCATCCTTGTTGTAGATAAAGAAAAACTTTGGGAAGTGCAGACCACCCGATGATAATTGTGTAGTTTTAGACAGACGAACGTGCTTCGTCACGCAGTCCTACAAGTCTATCTGAACTCCTTTGTTCTTCTGATTAATTTCGTTGCGGGTCCTTTGACTTAACTTTCCCCCGGGACAAACTTGACCTTCACTAGTTGGGTTATTGGCGGTCAAGCTGTAGATCCTGGCTACACAGGAGTTGCAGCGGTGGGAACGAGAGGTTGGAATAATCCCGATAGTCTATATGAACTTACCTTTACTTACTTATTTAAAATACTTCAGCATTCCGTCACTTTGCTTGATGAACAACGACAACACATTAGACTGTACATTTTCGTTGCAAAACCGCACGTATTCCAACTAAATAAGATGCTACAATTTAGCTTGAAGTGCCGTCGTCAGTTTTTCACGCTTACCTACTCCCTTCAAATTGCTACAGTCTGTAGTTTCATTCCATATAATGATAACGTCCTTGAAATGAGGAGGGGTGAGATGGAGGGGGGAGGTATCCCGTTTTTGTCCGGGCTTCACCCTTCTGTCTTATAGTGGAAATTATTTTAAAGATATCATAGAAATGTTTAAGTCAGTATTTCATAATAACTGCTAGCTACTAATTTGATTCTAAACTTTCATGGTCACTAACAGAATAACGAATAATTGACGGGATTGCTACAATATTATGAACTAAAAAGTTCATTAATCCCCATTACGTTGAAAATCAAATCCTAATATAACGGGGATTAATGAACTTGTTAGTTTATTATTCCCCATTATAAGCTCCAATTGGCGTTAACGGTAATCCCCGTGAACAAAAAGTTCACTATTCCCCGTTGACGGGGACTGTCAATGGGGAATAGTGGAATAAGCCTTAATTTCGAATCTCCGATATTCACATCTCACCTGCAGTTCCTCAGTTACTCCGTGATCATGGCGCTTGCAACAGTGCCGAAATATCGGAAACCCAAAATTAAGGAACTACATGGTAGAAATTCCATCAATAATAATTATTTTGATTCTAAACCCCTTCTTTCACTCGTAGTACCTCATTTACCTCACTTCACAAACGTATTGTTTATGAATTAACCCTTTAAATTCAATGAAGCTTAATTATTAACTTGATTGTTCATTTGTTTATCCTGTAACGGGTTAACTCTGAAGCGGTGGAAATTGATGATGAAACTTTATACTTACGGAAAACACTTTTCCATAAATAAGATGAATATAATATGAAATCCATTAAACCTACTTAATATTTTTCTTTTGGTAAATTATTAACTTCTTTTTCTCAGACTGTGTGGTTAATAACTATCTGTGACAGATCGAATATAGTTGTTATGCATAATAATAGGAGGTAAAGCTACTGAATCCAATTTAAAAAATATTTCAGCTACCTACATTATTCGTTAGTATTCTACATTATTCCTGAGCTAAAAAATCTAAAGGGGCGAAGTCCCGAGCAAAGCTATTTTTTCATAACAATGGGATTTCATTGCAACTGTCAACTTAACCCTTCAAACGAGAAGGGGTGAAACAATGTTGACGCGATTTGAGTGGACCGGCCTTTTGAGGAATAGACACTGGAAATTCTCTTGCGGATAATTTATAAGGTACAAGAATGGGTTATGTTTAGATGGTGTAGATAAGAGTTTCGGATACACGTCATTAAAGAAAAAAAGATTTAACTATGTCTTTTCGCTTAGACACGATGTTATGTAGCTGTTACAATTGGGTAGTTGACTCAATCAATCTAACCATTTATCAGTTACCAGTGATTTAAGTACATACTCGTAAATCTGTGACAGCATTTTTGACGGCATTTGATTGGAAGCTCAATTGATTATTTTAACTAGCAACTTGATACTTGATTGAACTAATTTTTGGTGTATGTGTTTTCGAAAAAACTGTGCCGTACCATTATAGGGTTGTAAACTAACTGAATGTTCCAAAAAATCACAGACTTAATACTTTTTTGTATGGAATCCTTTCATAAAATAATTTTTCGATTGTTCCAGATGAAATGGCGAGTGGCTGGCGGGATGGGCTTACCACTTGCTGCCGCTGTCCTCTTCACGCTGCCTCTGTTCACGTCCTCCACGGGCGATATAAGTGAGTACTCCACCTCCACTCATTTTCATTGATTATCCTGGTCCGCATTCGAGTGCGGGAGGTTCCTGTAACCTGTAACGCTATAGATAGTTTCATCCACCAAGACGCGCCCCACCATTTTTTGGTCGAGGGAAGCGCGGGATGCGGAGAGTTTGATTCGAGCAATCCGAGCGTCATTATTGTAGTGTGTGTGTGATAACAGCGTTGCAATTGGATAATTTATGCATGAGTGTGATTGCTCGGATCAAACTCCCCGCATTACGCGCTTCCCTCGAAAAAAAATTGGTGGGCGCGTCTTCGTGAATGAAACGATCTTTAGCCATAGAGCCTGGAGCCATGTTCTGGACCAAACATCATTAGTTAGTCACATAACACATTGAGTCCAGTTACTCATCATCATCATTTCAGCCATAGGACGTTCACTGCTGAACATAGGCCTCCCCCAATGATTTCCACAATCGCCGGTTGGTGGCGGCCTGTATCCAGCGCCTTCCCGCCTTTATGAAGTGTGGGTGGACGTCCTACGCTGCGCTTTCCGGTACGTGGCTTCCACTCCAGAACCTTGCTGCCCCATCGGCCGTCAGTTCTGCGTACTATGTGCCCTGCCCATTGCCACTTCAGCTTTGCTAATCCGTTGGGCTACGTCAGCGATTTTGGTTCGTTTACGGATCTCCTCATTATCTGATTCTAGTTGCGTAGTTTTACTCCATTCATGTTAACAAGAGCTGCATCAGCCTCCACTGTTGCAGGACATCACGGGACCTCCAGGGCGCGGGGCTGGCGCGGCGGCGTCCAGGCCAACGCTGACGTCACGGCCAACAACTCCATCAGCAACGTCACTGCTCAGCTGGGCGGGACTGCTTACCTGCACTGCCTGGTTGGACACTTGAGCGAGAGAGGCGTAAGTGTAACTACTATCATCATCTTATCATCATAAATACTGATGCTGCAGCCGTAGTCACAAGCAAACAGCAAGGTCAGTCTGCTTGTGACCACGGCTGCAGCATCGCAGCCGAAACGTCAAGCCGTGAGTACATAATGTAACTCATTAAAACGTCGCGTTAAGATCCGTGTCTTACAATCTTAGTTAATCCATTTTAATTAAATCCAATTTACATTTAATTTTAAACGCGAAAGTTTAAAATCTTATACAATCATCATCATTTCAGCCACAGGACGTCCACCGCTGAACATAGGCTTTTCCAAATTGACCGGTTGCATCGGCCTGCATCCAGCGTCTTCTTGAAACCTTTATGAGGTCTTCTGTCCACCTCGTCCTGGACATCCCTCGCTATAGAACCTCCAGAACCTTTCTGCCCCATCGCCCGTCAGTTCTGCTTACTATTATGCCCTATCGTCACTTCAGTCTGCTAATCCAACGGGATATGTCAGCAACTTTAGTTCGTTTACGAATCCTTATTATTAAATTACAGCTCTTAACCTATGTTTGTTAAAATGTAGTTTTTTTAGTGAAATTGGGTTTTATTAAAATACCTAGTTAGAAAGCGACAGATTAGCGCTAAGAATATTCTGAACTAAGTTGCAAAATATATAAAACTTTCTACCAATTTAAGGCTACAGAAAAACTCCTTAAACATAGTTCTCCGTGGTTGTTATGCCAACAATTTGCACCGAGTTTTCAGTGTAGCATTAATAATGCATGATTTCAAAATACAGCCATTACCATCAAGAGTAAAGACCTATGTTAATAGAATTCCTGGGTACAACCTCGCTTCAAATAGTTCTTTCTGGATCGACTAAGTGTATACTTAAATTAATCAATTTAAGAAGGGATAGAAAGGTAAATTGTAAGACAAGAATTCTATGTTTAATCACAACCCTGAATACTTGTCATTTGCCATAAGTCGATTCGTCACATTTTTGTAAGTTCGATACGTAGAAAGTTCATCATCAACATGGTTTATTTTAGTAGTTAAGTACTCCAAAATAATTTGCTACAAAATAATAAAAGTGACACGAAAGCTTATTTCGTGACGAAAATAACACACAAAAAGTATATGTTAACTACTCTTTATGTTTCTAAAACTCGTCTCCCACATTCAAATTCAAAGGAATCTCGCCTAACACCCAAATACCGCTATAAATAACGCCAAATTCCAAAAGGCAATTTCGAAGAGAAGTCGAGTTACTACTACATTAAACTTCTCAAGAAAATTAGCGTAAATGAGATTTTTACAACTTTCATAAATTTCTTTTCAGCAAGTTTCCTGGATCAGGAAAAGGGACTGGCACATATTGAGCTCCGGGAAGTTTACTTACACAAACGACGAGCGATTTCAGGTGAGTAAATTTTTTGACATTTCTTTTATTATGGTTGGTATTTCACATTTGTCATTTCGTAGTAAGTAAGGTAAATTTTCAGGAGAACAAAATAACTGAATTACTTAGCCATTCTATTTGCAGAATTTTCGCATATTGACCATGAAGCCTGCATAAACTCTTTATGCTATCCTACTTCCTACTTATAATATTATAAAGGCGAAAGTTTGGATGTCTGGATGTCATGATGTCTGGATGTTTGTTATTCTTTCACGCAAAAACTACTGAACGGATTTTGTTGAAACTTTACAGTATTATTGTTTATAACCCAGATTAACATACAGAATATAATTTATGACGATATGTGAGAACTAAATTTCAATAATTAAATAAGATGTGTCTAAAAAGCGCCTACTGTTTTTGATGTTCGTAAATATTCATGCGGGAAGCCGTGAAACGCCATCTTTCAACATGATATCTAACAGGGGTAAAACGAAGTCCACGCGTACGAAATTGCGGACGGCCGCTAGTCTTTTCTAAATCTTCCAGTAATTTGCCTCTGTTAACTTGGAGTTGGATTGTATACCTACAGTGGAGACTAACCCCGTTTCATGTGTGTGTTAATGTCATTTTAAAACAGTGTTCAACAACTGTTTAATATTTTATTAAAAAGGTTGTGAATAGGTATCTGAAGATGATGATTAAGTTAAAAAACTCTCCACAACTTATATCATTAAAATTCAAACTCATGATAAACGTAAAGTCTTTACCTACTATCATTAGTTTCTCAGATATAAAATACATTGAAAAATACAACGTACATTTTGGCACCAGTAGTGATTTGAAATTCACAAAATGCGAGTGTTAACAACAAACCCTTGACACAGAAGTACATCAACATAACATAGTAACAACATGGATACAGCATAATCCGCGAACATTCCGCTAAGCATATTAGGAACAGCTAATGGATATACCTATTCAGTGTGTAATAGTCATTCTGGAATTCCAGGGGTCGCCAACCATAAGGTTTTATTTGAAAATGTTTTTGCCACCGTAAAATGATGATTCCGTCAGAATATACTCTAACTCATCATGAAAGACGTCTCATATTTCGGGATTGTACTATGTATCATGAGTAGAGTCTTATATAGGATGCCAATGATTTCACAATTTTATGTATAAATAAAGGACAATAAATTATTTAGCTTAACACGAGGGGCTAATGGGACTATTAGTAATTTGGGCAATACAAATTGCTAATAATCTTTAAGAAAAAAATATGACGTTCGTAGTCCAAACGGATAAGTCCACTTTGACATTTAATTTATAATAAGTTATAAAATATAAACTGAGTCTGCTCAAGAGTTTCATAAACTAATAACACTAAGGTATTTCTTATTCTAAACAAAGTAGTATTACATAAAATTTCTTAGCTTTGATATTACGTAATAAGTTACTTAATATTATGAGCTACGTCTCTAGAGTTTCATAAACTAATAGCATTATATTATAGTCTTTCCATCTTTGAGCTACAAAACTATTTCTAAAGTGCTACTGTTATTTTGCAATCTTGACATACGCTAATCCTTACCAAAGTTCAATTGATTCCCAAACAAAGCAAAACCTATTATCACAGAAAACTATTCGGTCTAGTACAAACAGATAGTAACTACATACAATACCCATGCACAGTATAGTTTTTATATGTTATTGTGGGAATCGAACCCACGACATCTAGCTATGTATGTTTATATTAAAACTAGCTAAAAATATACATACTTAGTTTGCCACAGATCGTCATAAATTATAGCCTATATTATGTTATTCTGGGTTATAAACAATAATACTTTAATAACTCAAAGGTGACTGACTGACTGAATGACTGACATAGTGATCTATCAACGCACAGCCCAAACCACTGGAGTACTGAATGGATCGGGCTGAAATTTGGCATGCAGGTAGATGTTATGATGTAGGCATCCGCTTAGAAAGGATTTTACGAAACCACACTTAAGGGGGTAAAACGGGATCCAGTAGGCGTACGAAGTCGCGGGCGGCCGCTAGTTTATAATAATTACCCAAAGGTTGCACAAACCTGACCAAACGCGTCATTCCGTTCTAATATGGACTCACTGGTCTTATTTATTGTTAATATTAATTTAGCCTAACACACGGTATATGCAGTATTTGCGCTTGTGTTGATTACTCCACCGCAAATTGACGCTTCAGTTTCAATGATTATTTAGGCAGCACATCATGCTAAATAAGCTCTATGTTGTTGAAATAAGACCGATTTTGCAACAGAAATGTATCTGATGTGCTGATTATTTAGCAACGTAGAAACGTATTTGAATCGAGAATTAGGACATTGTTTTGATTATTCGGTAAGTAATTAGTATGCGACTAAAAATTTTAGGTAAATGAATAATTGAAAATTGTCGAAGTAACCGAAGATTGTGAACTGTCTATATTTTAAATGGATGTTAAAATAATTAACAAACGTCAAAAATCTGTCAAACCAAAAAAAAATTTTGATCAAACAAAAAACACCGGTTATCGCTATAGTTACCGTCAAAGTTAGGTGGTGGATCTCAGCCTAAGTAGCTCAGTCAGATGGAAGATCACCCGGTAAGTGAAAGGTCATGGATTCGATTCCCGCCTTAGACAGTTCGATCATTATGATATTGATTAAAAGTAACAGAATAAAACAATTGTCTGACTTGATACGTCTCAATTTCACTTAACTTTTTGTTCATCTCTTTCTTACACACCACCATTACAGAGCGAGTAATAGAGTCGGATGGAACATAATAACAATATCGATTTGTGATAAAGCTTGGTGGCTCGTTTTTGCTAATACCGATTTACTAACTCAATGTGAACCATCGATGCAGAGCGTTTAACTATCCTGCGGTCTAATTTAGTCGAATTTTGAACTAAATTGATGACTATAGACGAAATTGAGGATTAGCGTTATAGATTTGCTTCAAACAAATGTCCTTTTAATGCCGTCCAATCACTGGGGCGGAATTAAGTTGTGGTAGTTTTGTGCGATTCGATTTTGATAGCAGCTTTAAGTCGAGTCGCTTAGGGATTATTATTTACTGTATTACTACTCATTGAGGAATGTTTTTTGATTACTGAATGTTACCTTAAGCCACGGATACACTAGGGGACAAATTTCCTGTGTAACTCAGATTGTACTTGTTGCAGCAACATTCCCAAACTGCCTAGAACTTTCCCTCAGTGTGTCATGCAACATTTTACGAGACACGAGACATGTTTCGTGTTGACACTCTGCGGGCGGGGCACATAGCTCGTAGAGACGATGGCCGTTAGGGCAGAAAAGTTCTCGAATGGCGACCACGGGCTGCAACACGTAGCGTGGGCAGGCCTCCTACTAGGTGGACCGACCATCTGGTAAAGGTCGCGGGAAGAGCCTGGATGCGGGCAGCTCAGGACCGTTCATTGTGGAAAACCTTGGGGGAGGCCTTTGTCCAGCAGTGGGCGTCGTTTGGCTGAAACGAACGAACTCTACGGGCAAAAACAAGAATCTCGCGACAGTGTGCGTTTGTTCCCTAATGTAAAATGACCTAACTGTAATGTCTTTTGCAAGACGTCGCAGCACTAGTTAAGACAACCTCTTCGGGCAACATCTCAACTATCTATGGACGCCTGCAAAGTCCCACAACATTGTCCCGGGAACATCATGTAGTTGGTCAGTGACAATGTTCCGCAATACGGTGCTTCATTTGTCCCCTAGTGTATCCGAGGATTAATGCTGTAGGCCTTGAATTTAATAAAGACTGGAGTATTTAGGTCTTCTATCCACAATAATGCTTTAGTAATTTCATTTCTATTGTAGTACGTATATTAGGGAAATCATAGAATTCCCTAAATACTTATTACCTGGAAGCTAAAACTAATTGCGTCACTATGCCGAATGTCATTCATAGTCAAACTCATGATTCGAATCACTGAATTGATTAAAAATTCCTTTATAATTGATACTAGTTTACGCATTACTGGCTCAACAAAAATCAAAGTGATTGTCTGAAAAAAATATACATTCCAGTCCAACCTCCTCCTTTTTTTTTTAAACCGGTTAAAAAAATAAGCTCATGCTTTCCTAAGCATGCTTTCTTAAAAAAATAAGCTCATGTTTTCTTAAGTTAATGTGCCCGCCCGTTTGGCTTCTGTGTGCTTACCATGAGTTTACGTTAGGTGAACTCGCTAGCGAGTACGTCAAAAAGTTCTATGAAGATTTTATTTCTTATTAGTAGCCGCTAGGGGCGCTGCACAATATGTCATACATTTAAATGTCATTTTTTTACGCAGTCGCTAGCGAGCACACCTAACGTAAACTCATGGTAAGCACACTGATTGGTCTACGTCAGACACCTACAGTGGCTCAAAAATTTTGACATCCTCGCCTACCTTGAAATACTATCATTTTTAAAACATTTATGTACCCCTACGCCGAACTCTACTATACTTCGACCAAAAGTATGGAATCACTCTCTTGTGTTTTGTTCCGAGCCGTCTTAAGGACTGAATGCCTAATACATGTACCTATCTATGGTATCAATATAAAGTATCTAATATTATTACCATTAAAATTGTACCATGTTTGTTTTATCTTCTATTAGTCATTTAGTTCTTACGATCATTCGGAACAAATAGGGTGATTGCATACTTTTGCTCGCGAGTATATTTTGATTTCTTACCAAATAAGTACGAATAAATTTATGCGATTCCTTATTTTGATACCTACCATATCGTAAAATAGTTTCAGATAGTGGTAATAGAAAGTGGGCTAATATTTTTTTGTTATTTTCAGGTCCTACACGGAGAAGGGTCTGAGGATTGGACGCTTCAGATTAAATTTGTCCAAAAAAGGGACAATGGCACCTACGAATGTCAGGTAAGTGGCATAAATATAGCTTTAAGACGGTATATTACATACACCCTTTACATACAGGGTGTATTATCTACGCTGGATAAAACTTATGTGAGTCAAAATACATAACACGAGTATATTCCTGAGTCAGTAATGTCTTTACATCTTGTAGAAATAGGCAGACCTTATAGGTGATGATGATTAAGGAAAATTTTACTCCCTGTAGGTTTTTAACAATAAGTAACTTAACGGCTAGAATTCACAAGTTAGCTAGGTACATTTTTTTTAAATACCAATAAAACATAACCTTATTTTACTTCTACTTATCATTAATTTAACAAACAAACGTATGGCAAATCGGAGACCTATCCTTAAAATATAAAAACATCACGTGCCAAATAAATTATTTTTCTAACCTTGAACGTCCCAAAGCTAAGCAAAGGGAGGGTTGCCATGCGTCCAAGTTTCCACGGATATTCCTGATTCACCTTATGGGTGGTACCTGGCCTCCACTCCAGAAACTTACCGCCCTATCGGCCGTCAGTTCTGCGTACTATGTGTCCTACCCATTGCCACTTCAGCCTGCTAATAATTTCTTAGTCAGAGACTTTACGGATCGCCTCATCTTCTATACTTATAACTAGCGGCCGCCCGCGACTTCGTACGCGTGGAACCCGTTTTACCCCCTTCATCTATCTTACGCGGTTTAAATTTTTTCATACAAATGTTTTTTCCCGCTAACTCCCGTTCCCGTTGGAATTTCGCAATATCCTGTTGTAACTAAGCTTTAAGTTTACTAAGGGACCTGCATGCCAAATTTCAAGCGTCTAACTTAAGCGGTTTAGATTTTTCATACAAAAGGATTTTCCCGGTAATTCCTGTTCCTATGGGAATTTCGGGAATTCCTTTCTTAGTACACCTCTACGGTACCTAAGTTACATTCCTTATAAATTTCAAGTGCCCACGTTTAGCCGTATAGGCTGTGCGTGGGTATGTTAGTGAGTCAGTCATACAAAAAGAATTTCCCGCTAATTCCAGTTCCCGTCGGAATTTTGCAATATCCTGTTGTAACTAAGCTTTAAGTTTACTAAGGTACCTGCATGCCAAATTTTAAGCATTCTAACTTACGCGGTTTACATTTTTTCATACAAATATTTTTTCCCGCTAACTCCCGTTCCCGTAAGAATTTTGCAATATCCTGTTGCAACTAAGCTTTAAATTTACTAAGGTACCTGCATGCCAAATTTCAAGCGTCTATCTTACGTGGCTTAGATTTTTTCATACAAATGTTTTTTCTCGCTAATTCCCGTTCCCGTAGGAATTTTGCAATATCCTGTTATAACTAAGCTTAAAGTTTACTAAGGTACTTGCTTGCCAAATTTCAAGTGTCTAACTTAAGCGGTTTAGATTTTTCATACAAAAGGATTTTCCCGCTAATGCCCGTTCCCGTGGGAATTCCTAAGTATCCTATAACCTGCCCAGGAGTATGAAGAATAATTGTACCAAGTTTCGTTAAAATCCGTCGAGTAGTTTTTGTTTCTATAAGGAACATACAGACAGACAGACAGACAGACAGACAGACAGACAGACAGACAAAAATTTTACTGATTGCAAAAATGCAAAATTTTTACGTTTTGTCCTAGTAGTCCAACTTTAGTTATGGTTACCTTAACCAGAGGTCTCCTTTTACTATGTTGACGCCACTCCGGCTTCAGACCCACCCTTGTCAGCTTAAATATTTAGCTGGCGAGGTATTTATGGGATCCACCAAATATATAACGCCACGTCGCCGTAAAAGCAAATTGTCGGATAAAGAATTGCAGATTTATCAGGTAATACCATGGGAAAATGGATATTTTAGGTGTTTATTTATTTTTAATATTCACAGGTCTTGAAAAATAAATTATGTCCAACTTTCCTTATCCTATGCTTTCCTTTAAGAAAGCAAATTCGTGCAATAAAACTAGCCATCAACGTAACCATATTATAATTTCATGATTATTGTTTGTGTGTTTGTATTTACTCACATGCTTTAAGAGTTCTTCTATACTTACTTAGTAATTAATAGTTACACCTTGAAAAAGCTTCCGTGGTTTCACGTGAATTTCAGTTTATCACAGAAAGACTATAATTATCACGCTTCGAAAAACCGTGATAGAAACTAACTCATGTTTTTCCCTAGGTCTTAAAACTAATATAAGTTTGTATAAGTTCGTTACCTTAATCTAGATTTCTTACTAAATCTCTATACACAACGAGGATTTCATAATTTTAAGACCAAATTGCTTTCATATACGGAAAAATGTCTAGAAAGCGATTTCTCAAAACTCGAGTTATTGTCAATTATATTGAGGGGTTTATATGTGCCTTAATAAGGTCGCGAAGACAAAATCATGTTGTGTATTCTATAAGACGCGTGGAAGAGGTTTTTCATTCCGCGTAGGTGGGGGATTACCCGTAATCTTACGCGGCGTATATTGCGTTAAGGCAAGCTCACACTGTCAGGCTTAGTGACAAAATAAGTCATTAAGACTGACTTTCGCTCGCGACTTTACCCGCGTTTTCGATCTTTCACAGACTGGCTGAGTTGCACCACCTTAACTATAACGGTAACCGGTGCTTTTTGTATGGAGTTTGACAGATTTTTGACGTTTGTTAAAGTTAAATTGAGATAGTGCCAAGTAAGATTGTCATAAGCCCTACCACCAAGCAAACCGAGCAGAATACTTTGCTCCACTGGGAATCGAACCCGGGATCTCTCACGCGAGGTATATTGCGTTAAGGCAAGCTCACACTGTCAGGCTTAGTGTCAAAATATGCCATTAAGACTACCTAGCTTTTGCCCGCAGCTTCGCGTGCGCGAATTTTGCACTACCAAAAACTGAGACAAAAAATATATTATGTTTTCCCCTGGGTTTCAAACTATCTCTATAACAAACTTTATCTAAATCAGTTCAGCGGTCTAACCGTGAAAGGTTAACAAACATTCTTCTATCCATCCATCCACTTTTACATTTTGCTATATTATTAGTATATCTTTTGCGTTCTTAATATATGTTATTTCGCAAAAAAAATATGGCAATTTACAACTTGGCAACACAGCTTGATGAATCTCGTTCGAAAAATATTAAAATACAGAATTTGTAAAAACATATTCCCCTAAAAGTGAGTACTGGCGATATAAAAATCATAAAAGTAATTTATTTTTGCAATTAGGCTTTTAAAAACCTTTTACACGTCCCAGTATAATTTAACCCTAAAGTGTTTGGGAAAATAATTTTGGCCCTTTGATTAAGGCCGTGCTGAAACGATATCTTTAACCTCGTCAACATTTAGGCATACTCGTATTGTTTATTTAAATAAATTCTTTTTAACAGAAATAATTGTAAGTATTTAAGATTCATTTTGTGGAGAAAATAGACCATAATAAGTACTAATTTAATCATAAGGTCTTCCAGATATTCAATAGTACTTTACTTTCATCAATGTCAAAGTCATCATCATCATCATCATCATCATCATCATCATCANTGTCAAAGTCATCATCATCATCATCATCATTATCATCTCAGCCATAGGACGTTCACTGCTGAACATAGGCCTCCCCCAATGCTTTCCATGTTACCCGGTCAAAATTTCAAGCCAGCCCGGCCAAGTCAAAGTCAAAATTTCTTTATTTGTATAGACTAATAAATAGTACTTACAAATCGTCAAATATTTTGCCTCTTAAATAGCTCTACATGTCTCATAATCTTTTTACCCTACCAGCGCTTCGAGACCAACATTTGGCAAGTGCTGAGAAGAAGCGCTGCAACAAACTCAGTCACCACTGACTGTCTCTAAAAAAAACTAAAAACTTATCTATCGACTAATTATCTTATCTGTATTCTCCTAACACCTCTGTAGTCCTGTGGTAAGAAAGTGGCACTTTATCAACTCAGAGGTTCTGAGTCAATTCATCTTCATCATCATCATCATCATCTCAGCCATAGGACGTCCACTGCTAGCCTCCCCCAATGCTTTCCATGTTACCGGGTTGGTAGTGGCCTGCGTCCAGCGCTTTCCTACTACCTTTATGATGGTCGTCGGTCCACCTTGCGAGCCTGAGTCAATTCCCATACACACAAAAAAATACTGTGTATAGTTTCATTACGATATTGCAAGCTCGAATCAACCTGAGTATCCGAAAAGGGTCATGACGTCAGTTGTTACAACCCACGATATAAACAAGATTCTACCTTAACTATCCATATAACTTGGCTGTAATCTATAAACAGCGTAAACCCTTTATTTACAAGCATATATCGTTCCTAGTAAAAAAGCCATGAAATGGTTAAGAGCAGGGATGGGGAACCAATGGCACACGAGCGTGCGTCACAACATTTTATTTTATTGTTTTATTTTGTTCAGGATGAATTACTACAAAATATAAAGAAATTTGCTATGAAATACATAGATTAAATAATTATTACGACAGCAGACAACTTCTCAGGAAGAAAGCTTCATACCTAATCATCAAATCACAGAGGAACTGACTATTTCACCTTCAACTGCCGAAACTCAATAATGCTCTTAACATTATTATTATGGCGACAGACTTCGATGGTTGTGTTATAGCTAGTCAGGTGGAATTAGAACAAGTCATACCCAATCAATAAGCCGAAAACTTTGCCTCCACTGGGAATCAAACCTGGCGCTCCAGAAACAGTTAGCCACCACTTAACCACCGAGGCGGTTCAAATAAAATATTACAAGTGAAAGTTTTTTTGTAGTAAATTAAGTGTTTTTAATTATTAGTCATGGTTTAATACCAATTAAATATCAACGACTCAATTTTCTAAAAAATCTGTAATAAGAGACTTCATGAATGATTTAAGATACAAAAAGGTTTGCAATTCCTGGCTTAGGGCGTCAACACACCCATATCCATCGTCACGAACAAACGTACCTTAATACCTTGGCCAGTTTTTGCGGAGTTAGTGCACAATAAAAGGGGACTGAGTTGATCAGTTCGACTGGTTCTG